TACTTGAACACTTTAATTTAACACTGTTTTCATTTTAAGTTCTTCTGCAACTTTAGATTGTAGTGTGAGGTATTCCTTGTAACGTTTAACCTGATTCTCATGAAGAAGCTCTGGACAGATCATTTATGCTAATGCCCACTGACAGTAGCTTGACAACCACTTTTATCTAATTTCTGGTCTCCAAACATCTTACTATGCACATATTTAGATCAGAGAAGTCATTCTTTTCTCATGGTGTGCCCACAAACCCTTTCAATAAGTTCAGTGTTTGGGCCGCTGTATTTATAGAATCCTGCTTACAGCCATGGTCATCAGTAGGTGGCACCTATGACTATGAGTTAATATTGGCATGCAGAAATTTTATACATCTAGGTGAAACATACTGCGAGGGCTGCAAATACTGTAGGGGGCGCTACGAGCCGACTTGCCACTCTGAAGCAATAAAATCACATCAGATAACTACATTCAGGATTTTAAATGTGTGTGACAAGTTTGATTATGTTTTGAGTATTTTTAGCCCCTCAAAAACGCCTTCATTTTTCATGACGAAGAATCCGTCGCCACGGCCACGGCTTTTCACGAAACAACAAGCTTTGAGTAACTTTTCATCGCAAAGGTCTTTAGATTGTTCTGACCAAATATGAAGTTGATTCGATTATTTCCCTAGGAGGAGTTCGTTAAAGTGCAGCGCTTGGAAATGACACTAGAAATTCATAAAAAATTCAAAATGGCTGACTTCCAGTTGGGTTTAGAGCATGGCCCCAAGAGAGTTTTATTTAAGTCCATATGTGATACATGTTCCTACCAAATTTCATACATGTAGATCAAACATACTGCGAGGGCTGCTTCGTCGAAATTTTGTAGGGGGTGCTATTCAGCCGATTTGCCACTGTGAACCAATAAAATCACATTCCATAACTAAATTTTGGGCTTGTAATCTCCTTGCCAAGTTTGCTTATGTTTCGAGCATTTTTAGCCTCTCAAAATGATCTTCGTTGTTAACGGCGAAGACTGCATCGCCACGGCAACGGCGTTCGATGAAACATCAAAAGCTTCATGAACTGGCATTATGAACTCCTTATATTTGTGTGGAACTAATTTGATATTGAATTGATTTACCTACTAAGAGAAACAAGCCAAAGTATAAAGACTTTAACTTCCTGTTACCAGTAGGTGGCGCTATGATTATGTTTCAAAATTGGCCTGCAGAGGTCTTCAGGCCTGGAGTCTAATCAAACATGTGAAATCTGGTAAAGATCTGATGATGTGGAGTCGAGTTACGTCAGTTTATTCGTTCATGGCGAAGGATCGAAATTCGCCGAACCGCCACGTCGCTGCCCTTCAACAACTTGTTACGATTTTCACAATGAAGCATTATCAAGGTCTTAAGGCTTTTCTGACAACATTTTAGAGGGATTTGATTAATCTGTGAGGAGCAGGATGTCAAAGTACAAAACGTACAACTTCCAGTTGCCACTAGGTTGCGCTATTACTATGATTCGATATTGTCATATAGATGTGTTCCGGGTCAGGATGTTATGACATATGAGAGATTTGGAGCAGATTAGACAATGTACGGCCAAGTTACAACAACTTCCTGTTTCATGGCAAATGGTGTTTTTTTGACGCCACGCCACGGACACATAGTTCGATAACTTTTTGATCTTTGAGTAACTTTCACTGCCAAGGTCTCACGAGCATACTGACCAAATCTGAAGTTGATCGGGTTAAATATCTAGGAGGAGTTCGTTAAAGTATGAGGCCTTGAAACGGTCCAAAAACGTCATAAAATTCAAAATGGCCGACTTCCTGTTTAGTTTAGAGAAAAATTCCAAGAGGATTTTTTGTGCGTCCCATCACGATCCACATACCTACCAAATTTCATACAGCTCAGTGAAACCCGATGTTGGGGCTACTCAATAGGGGGAGCTATCGAGCCAATATTTCATACACCCCAATGGACACCATTGCTGGACACCCCAATCAGACTGTAATTTTCGCAAATTCTGGCTTGCGTGCCGAATTTCAGAAGTTTTCCAGTATCCCAAGCACCTCCTTTTTGCGACGAAACTTGTAAAATAATAATAAACATACGAAAAACAATAGGTCCTCCCCTCCGACTACGTCGGTGCTCGGGCCCTAATAAACAATCGAATAACAATAGGTCCTCCGCTCCGACTACGTCGGTGCTCGGGCCCTAATAAACAACCGAAAAACAATAGGTCCTCTGCTCCGACTACGTCGGTGCTCGGGCCCTAATAATAAATAATCGAAAAACAATAGGTCCTCCGCTCCAACTACGTCGGTGCTCAGGCCCTAATAATTTACCACCGGGTCCGTTTATTACCGGGTTTTGGAATGCATCCCTACCTTCAGATGACGTAAAGCGCGAAAAGGCTCTCCATAGATCCAGCGTTGGTTTGTCCATTCTGAGCTGCCGTAGAAAAATGTATTTTTCTAAGCTAATGAAATACTACGAATCTTAGTTTAAGGTGATTATACACTGATTAAAACATAGTTATGAATATTATATTCTATTGCTGGCAATTAATCGCCCTAAATATTACACACTGTTCCTTTAAGTAAGTATGTTAGCTACTTTTCAATTTAACTTAGCTAATGTCAAATAGTAACGTTAACTCGTGGGTGTATTACTTCAACATCGTGGATGTAACGTTCAAGCTTTCTGACTACTTTCCTAACTTTACCTGAGTACGCCATAAGAGCATACCCTCATGGCGGAGTGCTCATGTGATTGGATGAAAATGGAGGAGACATCTGAGTGGCCACAAATAATCCCCTTGTGGAACATTGGTTTCAGATTTTTTAAAATCTTTGTTCTGTAAATCTTTTAATCTGGAAAGCAGGTTGTGCTTAACCTTGAAAGGTGCTATATGAATACAAGTATTAACTCATAGGTTAATACTCATAGGTTCGCCTGAAAAAAAGCACTTGTATTGAACTTTTTTTTTTTTTAAATAATGCAGCTGCAAGCCTAAAACCACGCCACAGTCATAGAACAACACGTTTTACATGTCCCCACAACATATTTTACTTCGATTGAGTGAAGCAGGCCAGCATAAATGGTCATAAAAATCTAAATTTAGATTTTCGGAACCAGCTGTTGCATTGCTGTATACTAATTGTATATACTATATAACTAAATATTAAATATATATTCACTTTTCTTATCACTAAGAGTGTTCAATAATCCTAATAAATCAGTTTGACACCATTTTGAATAATTTTGAGCAGTTATGATGTGTCATATCTGTCATTCATAACAATAAATGGCACATAATGTGTGTCTATGTGACTTTGGTAAGGCCGATTTACTCGTGTGAGACATTTTTAGATGCGGGATAGTCCAACGGGAGCTATGCAGGGGTGTTTACTGACTAAAAATCGCAAAATGCTGGGCAAACCCCCCTCTCTACATGGATTGCTCTACCCCACAGAATCGTCTGCCATTTTTTGATTCATTTCGCCAGCGCATTGATCTCACTCACAGACATGCAGCAGAACATGGCGGGCAGAGCTGTGCAAAAATCGGCTCGAATAAATCCGTTTTTCATCGCCAAAATGTAAGTTTTTTTTACCCAATTATTTTTCTCGTGACCTGCGGCTGATGTTGGCATGCATACCCATAACTTCTGAACGGTTTGAAAGAGAGTAATTTGGACGCCGCTGTACGTTTCCGGGTCGAATCGTGCTTCTAGCTGAACATATCTGAACTTTTCAGAAAGGTGCTGGTGCTGTCACTGTGACTCCTTTTCAGCTAACTAATCATATTTTAGAAGAGGAGCTGGGAGCTCTTTTCTAATGAAGCGCTGGGATGAAGTCCTCTCACGCCCCCTGCCAGAAAAACACCCTATACGGACACTCATCGGTGCTCTAGACATTTTACAGAAATTTGACTGCAAAAAATAAAAAATAAACGCAAATGCCTAACGAGAATATAGAATGACTGTTGGAGCTCTAATGGTGTAAAGGGCTGCTTTGTAGTGGCCTTATGTCTAAGCTTATGCTTCATAATGGACTGAAAACGAGTGCTCAGTTTTCTCTTGCTTTCATTCTCATGTGTTCTCTTTGTCTCCCTCCATGCTGCAGGCCAAAGGAAAGAAGCAGCTGTTTGTGCAGCTTGTGCTGGATAACATTTGGAGTTTATATGATGCTGTTGTCACTAGGAGGTAGGTGAAAGATATTACCCTAAAACACTTTGTTGCTTTTTAAAATCACGAGATGTATTTCTGTCTTAATTGAATGTTTTCTCTGTAGTAATTGGATGTTTAATTATGGAGAAATGCTGTACAAGGAGTGGGTATGTAGCAGTCCGAGCCAATGTGATGTCAGGTGTATTTGCTGATATGTACAGCAGAATAAGATTGCTAAAAATGTTACATTATTTGTTCTATATTTTTATTTACACCTGCTTTTATTTAAACTTAAAATACACCTCTTCTCAGAAAGCATGGAAGTGAAATGTCCAATACAAAGTAGCTGATGATGATGTTTCCAGGACAGTAGACTGCAGAATTGAGATGTCAGTAGAAAGACAAAAAGACGGAACAAACCAAAGGAAAGGTGAAAGAGAGGTTCAAGAAACATGGAAAGATGAGAACCAACTACTACAAACATGTTTGTGTCGCATTAGAACCAGGCGTGTTTGAATGTCTTTGCACAGTGACCAGCATTTCAAATGGGAATATTTCAAAGAAATATCAATTAATTTCAGTGGCACAGTTATTAGATCCGCTCACCTTTGAACCAAATGCATTCAAATTTTGTGTGCAGTTCAACTTTTATGAACTTTTGAGACAAACAAATTTACCAGTAGCAACGTTCTTTAGGAGGCCTAAAGGGAAACTTTTGAGGGAACAGAGGGCCTCTCATAGCCTATAAGCTGTGTTCCACCTTCCACTCTAGTTTAACGTTGTCCTGCTGGACTTCAAGCGGCTCTACTGCACATATTTGGTTTGGTTTGCAGACATTTAACAAGCCAGCTAGCTTGGAGAGCTTTTGTGATGGACTAGACGGACTAGACTGAGCGAATCAACCTGGTTTATTTCCCAGAAATGTGGTCATTGTGACTCTACAGGTGGTTGTAACTTTGTTCTTCTTCCGTTTTAAAGATGTAGGGAAACGAGAACTCATGTAAAACAATGGGTAACATCCAGCTGCAGCTTTCCAAAATAATTATATTTTTAATTAATCATTTTTTCATGAATCCGTTGATGAATACTGATTCACATGAAAGTAATTCCAGCTGTGTAACTCCAATAAATAAATTTGCAGCACTTATCAAATGCAAAATCAACTGGAAGAATGGTCAGCTTTCCATACGTTGAGAAAAGGCCATTACAACACAGAACACGCTATTTCATGTGAGGGATTACAATATCTGTGTCTGTGTCTAAATACATCTTATCAGAAACACCATGATCCGAAATGACATCGGTAACAAGGAGAAAAAGTCACATTGTGTTGGATAATTGTCCCCAGGCAAAAAATACATCTCCGGGTTTCTTTCTACTTGCAGATCAAGAAGTGACAACTGGAGTCTTGCTTTATTCTACAGCATTAGTTAATAATGGCACAGTATGTATTTGTCATTTCTATTTTTTTGTTCTTGCAATTCGGTAACTTGCAAGCACGAACCACTTGCTCTCTTTTGCTGCTTTTCTAGCACAAACACAGTGCAGCTATCCACAGCCTCACACACGGTAACAACCCAGTGTGCACGCATGAGCCGGTCTGACCTGAAGTTACCTCGGATGTAGATCCACCCATAGAGCCACAATGGCCTCATTCATGGGAAACCAGAATTGTCCTTCAAGCTTCTCAAACCCACACAGGTGCCCTGAGCTTGGATCATGTTATGCTGTGACAGCACATTTGTACTCGCTGATATTTCCACTAAACAGCTGCACTGGAAACCAGCTCAGGTCAGAGTGTGCGTGTCTGTGATGATGATTCATCCTGTTTGTGTGACTAGAGACGAGGAGAAAGTGGAGAAGGTGCTGACATCACTGGGGGTGAAGGTTCTGGCCAGAGACTTGCGTCACTCCGACCCCAAAGTCCTCCTCTCTGCCATCTGCAGCCAGTGGTTACCTGTGTCCCAGGCTGTGCTCTGTATCCTTTGTCTTGACTCTTTATCTGTTATCGCCTGTGTGATCACTGGCTTTGTTGGTTTGTCTGCCTCAGTTGAGCACTTTTTGGGGATGTTCGTGCATTTGGTTTCAAGTGTTCTTTAACTCAGACTGTAGTGATGGTGTGTGAGAAACTGCCCAGTCCCTTAGAAATGGTGGCAGAGAGGGTTGAGAAACTGATGAGCGTTGGAGCGCGACGATTTGACTCGTTGCCTGAACAGACGCAGGAGCTAAAAAGAGGTACGCAGACACACACACACTGGATCTGTATTGAATTTTGAATTGACCTCCACTTATTTTACACATTAAGGCCAGTGAAGCATTCGTGAAGAATGTGACTCTGCCTGTCTTCTGGGGCTCTGGCGTGGGATTTGCGAAAGAGGTGGATGCTTACTTGGCAGGGAAGCTCTATCTAAAATATGCTATCCCTTGCATTATGGGAAATGTAGGATCCAGTGTTTCTAGAGCTGAACTCATTCTATGGAGTAAAAGTCAGGTCCTTCCAACATCTGTTGCATCATTTTTCCTCTTGTTTTATGTTTTTATGTTTTAACTGTCTCTTGAGAGTCCATGACTTGTGGAAATGACACTGTAATGCAAATTCCTATCAGCATATTGTAAACAGTTTAGGAGAGATTCAAGCATCACTGCTATAAAACCATGAAGTCTGTAAGTAACAGGACACTGCCAGGTACTGTTGCATAGCAAAGCCGCTGACTGAACTAGCTTGCTACTGAGAGTGTAAATCTGAGATTCAGTCCATCAATACACAACCACAGATCCCTCCCAAATTCAGGAATCGCAATCCCTCCTGCTGGCTCGCTACATTTCCCATTCATATATTTGCCTCAAGCCACATCCAGGACATTCCTCATGACTGCAAACTCTTTCATGTAGCTGAAGCTGCCGGTAACGCTCAGCAGCTGCCTTACAGAACAATTGTCCTGATATGTAACGTTAGCTACACTAGCTAGCATTAGCTAACTTCATGACCTTTCTCAACTCAGTTACCAGTGGTGGAAAATGAATATTTTTCTACTACTTTACAGATACGGGACTCTTGATCTGGAGATACATAATCTCATAAGACATCCCTATGACTTACTGTAAAGAAAGCACAGGCACACTGTGGAAGACTGAACAGCAAAAAAACATACCAATATGATCAATAAAAGAAATGAAGGTAGTTTTCCTCATGAAAAAATAACTATTGATTAATGCAGACCTACAGTACCTACAGTATGGAAAGGTCCAACATGCACAATATAGTTTTAAGTGGATTAGAGAAGTTTTTCTTTTTTCAAAGACAAAAAAGGTGATGCTAATGTCAACTGATCAATTATATGCAAGCTAATTATGTGTCTGTCTTCCTTTCTCTATGCATATCTCCTGAGCCTCAAAGACACAGATCCATATGCAAAAATAAAGAAGTAAAACAAGTCCTTCAAATATTAAAAAAAAACAGAGGAGCAGACCCATCAGTACTTGGACTACATTTATTAGTCAGCAGATAAATTCATACCACTTGATCACATTTTGTTGCACGAGATATTACTACTAGATATACAGTTGTGTGAAAATGTGTTTGCCCCCTTCCTGATTTCTTATTTT